AAAAACGTGTATTTTTAACAGTTTGTCAGTGGGTAAATAAAAAAAATATTTGTTGTGCTTTTCTCAGTCGGACACAGACAAACAAGTCGGGTGATTTTTGTCTTTTAAACCAGAAAGACTGCTGACAGATCTAACCAACACTCGCGCCACAGAAACTAAAGCAACAGGTAAGTTAGACAAACCCACCCATTCACTATATTACAACTTTTAACTTCTTGTTAATCGTTATTTATGATCCGCTTCTTCAGTTTCATGTAGCATATGTGATGCTAATTAAGTTTACTAATGCAGCCGAAGCCCTGGTAAACAAATTGGCTCGAGGAGTATTTGATGGCTGTTTTGCTAACGTTATTTACCATTTCAGATTGATATTTGCTCCTCACGTTTTTTTAATTTGAAACTCGTGCTTGCATATGTTTTTGAAATCAATGTTTTCAGAGCAAAGACAGCGTGGACAGTGTTGCCAGATTGGATGGACGATTTCCAGCCCAAAAGCTCACAAAAACCCGCCCAAAACTTTAACTGTCAAAATAATGTGATTGAATATGTAAATCAAGGTTGATGGGCCATTTTTAACTCCTTAAAACAAAATAATGACGACAAAATAATATAAATATAACGTTAGATTAATTTCCCAGGTAAACGGATCAAATCGGGGCAAATAGCCTACATTAAAGAGAATTAGGCTACGAACATGAATAAAATATGCAAGCAGACACTGTCAAAACGGCAATCAAGAAATTAACCGATACCCTCGAAACAACACGTGCATCATTTTCAATGTCAGCAGTTAGAATAATCCAATTTAAATGCAAAAAGTGCTCAATATAAGTGACAGGAAAAAGCAACATATTATAGCAGGTATTTCACACTCGTTCATGCACACACCATAGTCAAAACTGTCATTCTTTGATACAAACTGAATTATAATCCGACAATTAAAAAAATACGTTATATACATATTTACGTCAGATACGTTATAACTTATCAGACTAAAAACTTGTCACTCATGAATCATAATGTCTGTCTGCTGAGCCCTTGTGATAAGTGCGGCTGTCGATGTTTACATCAGCACCAGCGCACTGGCTAAAGCGGAAGTTGGAGAATAATAAACACATAACCAGGGCCGGATAACGTTATGATGACTGATTGGATGCAGTACATGCATACTTGGGCTTGTTTGTTAAACAATTAGCCTATGCAATTTATATGTTTGAAAACTGCCAAACTGACCCCAAACCAGCCCAAATTTTGTCCACCCGCCCAAGCCAATTTTTACTGCACAATCAAATTCAAAACCGCCCAATTGGACGGGAACCTGCCCAATCTGGTAACGCTGAGCGTGGAGTGCTGGGATGTCAAATGCAACAAGATGGCCCAAGTATAGGTCTCTGCAGGAAAGTAATGGGAGTTACCAGATCGGGGCGTTTTATACCATGTTTCCTGATTGGCTCACGTCATGGTGACGGTAGATTTAGGGGTGGGGTTAGGTAAGGGGGATCATTTTGATTGCATGATTGAGAAACACCCTGCAGTTTGAAAACACCCACAAATTAAGAAACACCCACTTTTGCTCTGCAGAGACTGCAATCTCAAGACTGCTGCAATACTACGAGCCTAAAATGAAGTAAGTTAAGTAGAATTCACATTGATTTGATGGGTTTTAGTGTTATGCAAGATGAAAATCATCACTTTATGAAAGGTTATTTAAGTATATTTCTTCATTTTTGGATGAATTGCTATTTTTGCAAATGTAGCAGCACAAATGGGTCTTCTGAAGCAGTACAATATTTTAGAATTAAATCTAAATCTAAACATTGATCAACTCATGCATACACAGCCCAGACAAATACTGGTTCTTTCACACCACATGAATTACATCATGATATCCAAGGATCAGTGATGTTTGATGTAATGTAGTGTGCCACCATTTTTGATTCAGACTGTATTGGCAGAATGAATAACATATTAAATTTCAGTTTGCTTTTGATTCAGAGTCATTATGCTTCAGAAGAATACGAGTTGGGTCTTGAAAGTTCTAGTTATAGTAGGCTTTCTTAATATGGATTACAAAAAAGGTATTTTGTGTTATATTTCCACTTGCACTTATCTTAAAGTTGCTTTGGGTTTGTATAAAGGTGTGTTGATTTATTATTTATATTTATTAATTTATATTTATTTGGTTGTTTTATTAATGACAAATCCAATTCAATTCAATCTCAAGAACATTCAGCTGATACACCCTTGAAAGTTTTTCCCAATTAAATCCAGTTGACCGACAGCTCTGGAAGACATGTTGTGAAAATTACAAGTTTTTAAAAAGTACTACAGGGTTTTAAATGGGCACAAGTCCTACTGAATAAACACTACTCTGATCCTTCACATCTTTATTTTCATTTATGAAAATTTAAATATGTCCACACAAGGGTTAATTTTATGAGTTGTTGTGACATATTCTAAGACTTTTTTTAATGCATTAGAAAAAGGAGCCTGAGCAGGTGCAGAAGGCAGCAGTCCCCATCATTGCTGCTGAGGAGGAAGAGGAAATGTCACGAGGGAACCCACTGGATGTTTTGATTGTCTTTGAAGACGGAGAGGTGATGTCAACCAAGTCTAGGGTCAGTGCACTGCTGCTGCTTTTGCACTTTATGCCCTTATTTAGAGTACACTAAATTCTCAAAGCAGCTTTACAGAAAATGCATGTGTCTATATTACAATTTAGCCTGATCTGTACTATAAATACTATACTTTCAACTCGAATAGTGTTGTATCATGTAATTTATAGTGATGCTACATGGGTGTACTAACTTTTGTTGTATACTGTATGTTTGACTAATACACTGGAAGCAATATTGACGTGACATACTGATACAATTCCTCACTGCTAATCATGATGTTCATTCTATTTAGTATGGGTTTAATACAGGATACTTACAGTCTGATGTAGTAAAAAGAAAACTGTATGAACATGCCCTTTGACCTTACCACACACAAGTACATCTGATGTGCGAGCGGCCATCAGGCGCAAATGTAACAAAGGGCAATTCTTTATAGAATTGCAATATTTTTTGGACATGTATAATTTAAAATAATTTTGTATTGTATTGTGTTGTATTGTTTTTGTTTTGTTTTATTGTATTTATTTTACATGTTCAAAATAATACAAAAATATAAAAATCTAATTCAGCAAAAAAAGTGAAGTTTGTGTGTTGCTGCTGTTACAAAAAGTTTTTATTTTTTTTATGTTTCTTTCGGTGTTCTTTTTATTTAACATGGTTGGTGCATTTTATGTTTTGCAATGCTAAAACCATTTGAGGTTTAAATAAACACTTTGAATTGTTAATAATGTGTCTCTGTCTGTCATTGAAGTTATGTATTTATTGTAATGACCTTGAAAGGTGGATTCAGCATTGGTGAAGAATTAGCATATTTTTACTCAAAAATAATGTATTTATAGTATATTGCTAGTGTGTTTCAAAGACACATAATCATTTTTAATGTACTCGTGATACAAAAAAAGTACACTTTAATATCACTAATCAAGCATGTAAATAGGCATATACTTAAAGTGTACTAAGTATACTTGAAGTTGTTCCAATTTAGCATATAAAAGTACACTAAATACACTTAAAGTTATACTTTAATTTAATTACAACTAAAATACACTTAATACAAAAATAACTGTTCCAAAATGGCACACTTGAAGTCAACTAATCATTCACACTTGAAGTATACTGACAATTAGTCTGGCTGCAAGATTACTTATTACTTACTTTTTTTTTTCTCTAGGGTGCCATATAGAGCAGTGCTTCTCAACTGAAACTGGTGGTTCATGAGCTCAATATTTTGGGATATATGTAAGGGATGCAATGTTGCATGCAGATATTAAAATGCAGCATGTAAAAGTGAAATCTTTAAAAAAAAAAAAAAAAACTATGACAAGTGATTTGGAAAATGGAAGGATTTAGAAACTAAAATAGCTATCATATTCAGCCTATTTCATGTTAATAATGGATTTGCAGCTCATTGTAATATTAAAGGGGTCATATGATGCGATTTCAATTTTTCCTTTCTCTTTGGAGTGTTACAAGCTCTTGTTGCATAAAGAAGATCTGTAAAGTTGCAAACACTAAAGTCTCAAAACCAAAGAGATATTCTTTATAAAAGTTAAGAGTTAACCACGCCTGCCTAAAACGGCTCGTTCTAACACGCCCCCACATACCTACGTCACGATCTGGGAAGATTTGCATAACGCCGCCCAAATGTTCAAGCAAAGAAAGAAGGCGTAACTTTTATTCTCGCTGTAGTATTGTTGACGCTGCAGCCATGTCGTGAAGACGCTGTGTGCTTCGTTGTGAAAGCGAAACT